ACATAAATAATTTTTATAAAAAATATTCGTACACGTGAAAAATTTTATATGTAAATGAACAATAAATCTATTTCATTTGTCAATCTTCATTACAAATTATTCTAAATTTAATTAATTAAAATTTGAAATTTGAAAAAATCCTTAACTCAGACTAATGAAATACATTTAAAAATTTAAATTTTGAATTATATTAAGAAAAAACTGATTCTTGTACACATGTAGATAAGTTTTATTTTCCACTTAAAATTCCTGTCTAGAAGCAGAGAGTTACCATTTGAAATTCGCAACGCGATTTCACTATTCGCGTTACGATTTACTATTCGCATTGCGATTTTACTATTCGCGTTGCGATTTTACTATTCACGTTGTGATTTTACTATTCACGTTGTTATTTTTACTATTTACGTTACGATTTTTACAATTCACGCTGCGATTTTGGAAATTGAGTTGCGAAATTGGAGTTCGCGTTGCGATTTTGTTGGTCATTTTGGCAAATCCAAAAAAATTAGTTAAAATCGTATATTATAAGGCATTTTCGGTCACTGAGATTATTTTCTCTAAATTTAATCTTCACAACTCACTCATCCAATTTTTATCCCATTTTCCTTCGACATTTCTGTTTTCGTTCCCCCAATGACATCCTCAAGTCAACAAATTAAGGGGCTCGTATTGGATAAATAGGTGACGTGAAGAATCAAATTTACCATTCTTTTCTTTTATATGTTAATTTGTTTAATAGAGAAATTATGATTAATAAAATTAACTTTCAACATTTAAATTATTTATTTTTAATCTCTTTGATTGTTATCTTTAGAAATCTCGGGATCGAAAACTAATCACGGTAGGATATTCAAATATTTATAAATTATCTTTAGAATAAATGCCACCACATGTAATCACACTAGATTAAATAATTTTTTTAATCTCTTAAAAATTAAATAATTTTTTTAATTAAAATATTGATTAAGAATTTTTTTACGGTGATAACCTAAAAATATATGAAATTATCTTTTGCTGATGACCTTTTGATTTTTTGCAAAGGAAATCTTGAGTCAATTGTTGGAGTCACGAGTGTCCTTAATCACTTTTACGACTTATCTGGTCTTAAGCTCAATGTTAGCAAGACTGAATTTTTTGTTACTGTAATTTCTTCTAGAATCCTGGATTCCATTAAATCTGCCACTGGTTTCAAACAAGGATTTCTACCTATAAGATACCTCGACGTTCCTCTTGTCACTAGAAAGTTAACAGAAAAGGACTGTATGCCTCTCTTTGACAGTATCAAACTTAGACTTCATCACTGGTCTGGAAAATTCTTAAGCTATGCTGGGAGACTTGAGCTCGTTAAAACTGTTCTTTACAGTGTAGCTTACTTCTGGTGCAGGCAATTTATTCTTCCTCAAAAGGTTATTAACCGTCTAAAAAGTTGTGCTCACGATTTCTTTGGAAATGAACATACAAAGCTGCTACAGGTGCAAGGATCAGCTGGGAAAAATTATGCTGCCCCAAATCTAAAGGAGGTCTCGGTTTGAAAGATATTAAATCTTAGAATAAAACCTGCATGATTCAACTCATTCGAAAAATTCTAGCTAGAGAGGGATCTTTATGGGTCGCTTGGGTTCACTGCTATGTTATCAAAAACAATGATTTAAGTGACTTCAATGTTAGTTCTTCCTATAGCTGGAGCATCAGAAAACTTATGAAACTAAGAAGTTAATGCTGGAATCATGAAAACCAAAGACTTATAGGAAGAAATTAGAGTTCATAGAGACAAGGTTTTATGGCACAAAGTGATCTGGTTTCCCCTACACATTCCTAAGCTAAGCATTATTTGATGGATGGCAATCCTGGATCGTCTTCCTACTCGAGACAGACTGTTTCGAATGTGAATTGTTTCAGATAGACAATGTATTTTATGCAATGATGATCTTGAATCTAGAAATCATCTGTTTGTTGACTGCATCTATGCCTCTTCTCTCTGGAACTCCATCATGAATCTTACAATCATGCAAGACTCTCACAGGACATGGGAATCAAGGATTGAATAGGCTGCTAAAAAATGAAAGGGTAAATCTCTACTTTCCATCATACTAAGGTTAGGTTGGACCGCTTTTATCTACTTGATTTGGGAGGAAAGAAGTAGAAAAATTTTCAAAAGAGGATCAAGAACAACAGATCAAGTTCTTAAGTCTGTAAAGGAGCTTGTTCGAATCAAATCTGTGACAGGAAAATTAATAGAATAAATAATGTTAATACCAATCTATGTAATTATTGGGGTATAGACTAATCATTTTTTGTTGTAAGTAGTTGTTTATACTCCCAATTGGGATGATTGTTGTATCCTGAACCTTTCTTATTGGATAATAAAATTCTACTTATCCAAAAAAAAAAATTATCCTCCAATTCTAAGATTTCGTCCCGATTAATCTGAACTGATCCAAGTATTGTCGACTGCAAAAACCAGGCCTCTGTCAACAAGTATTGTCGAGGAGGCTGATGATTCTCAAACACCATTATCACTAGTGAGTTTTGTTTGATATATTGGGTTCCTTTTTTTCACTGGGTTTTTGCATGCTAACAACAACAAAATTGCAAGAATCAAGTTTTGTGATGATGAGTGCAAAGGTTTGGATGGAGAAGAATGTCTGGTTAAGAGGTCCTTGGCTGCTCATACGTAGGGGTGTAAACGAGTCGAGTCGAGCTCGAGTATTACTGAGCTCGACTCGACTCAAAAACTCTGAAATGGAGCTCGACTTGACTCGAAAACTCTGAAATGAAGCTCGACTGGACTCGAAAACTCGTCAGCTAAAAATTTTCAAGCTCGACTCGAACTCGAAATCCTGAACTGAAGCTCGTGAGCAGCTCGAAAAGGCTCGAAATGAAAAAAAAAATCTTAAACTTAACTCGATTGAAGCCTCAAACTCGAACTCGAACATCAACCTTAAATACATGAAATCTTACTGTATTTTTTAAAAAAAAATCAATACATAAATATTAATATTATTATTAATTTATTTTTTAAAATAAAATCTTAATATATTATATTTTCGAGCTGCTTACAAGCTTTTCGAGTCGAATATCGAGTAGCTCGTTTCAGCTCGTTAAGAACTCGAGTCGAGTCCATTCGATCCGAGTATTTATCGAGCCTTGATCGAGTCGATCTCGAATAGCTCGCGATCTGTCTCGTCTCATTTACAACTCTACTCATACGGATTATATTTACACCCAACAAAACATTGTACCATGATCTTTAGGTGTTTCTGTTAATTTCTTCTTTGAAATGTTAATTTACAACTGAAAAAAGTAATCAAACTGATGTTTTTTCAAGTCTAAACTACTTGCTTTGATGTTGCTCTGAGGTTTGATGTTCATTTACAATTGAAAAGTAATCAAACGCTTGTCTTTTTCATGTTCCTCTTGCTATGATATTTCTTTTACTTGCATTGATGTTGCCTCTGAGGTTTGATATTAATTTACACCATATCGTAACTTTTTTTTTCAAGTTCATTGCAACCGTTCGTAATATAAAACCATAATTATTCTTAAGATATAAATCACATTATAACGCCCATAACACCTAAAACCGCGATACTGCAGCCGTAATTTAATACAATGACCATATAACATATATTCAGACATATCCAGATAATATGCTACTCATGAGAAAAGTAAAAACTAAAAGGAGATAAGCATGCCCACATAGGGTCTTTGAATTTAGAGAAACTGACTCTGCAATATAAGACCAGTGGAAGTACCTGTGCTTGTCTGTTTTGAGCAAATGTGTGTGTATACAATTTATTAATGATCACCTCTAATCACCATATCTAATGGAGATAACCCTTTAGATATACGTACATGTGGAACAGTGGAAGTACCTGTGCTTGTCTGTTTTGTGCAAATGTGTGTATATACAATTTATTAATAATCACCTAACTAATCACCATATGCTATTAAAAACTGTAGTTTGGATTCCTTATTCTGATATGCTGCTTAATCCATTTATCCCTTAAAAAGGATAATTTGATTCTTTTGAGCCCCAAAGATACATTGTTCGAGTTCTTCAGTAACTACAGTTTGATACGTTCTGAAATATAAACATTCGAGAATCATAAAAAGCAAAGTTGTTGGAGATGATAAACATCCGAGAATCATAAAAAGAAAAGTTGTTGGAGATGATATGGAATCAAGTTATTCATATTCTCAGCATGTAAAATGGCTTATGAAACAATTTGAATGACTGTAACACATTATACTGATTGTTACATCACTTGTTTATCTCTGTAATGAACAGACTGCAGCCAGCGGGTTTTATCTGCTTATGTCGAAACTGGTTACTGGCACCGACTTGCAGTAGCCACGAGAAAGCAAGAGATATGGATAAGAATTGCTAATGCAGTGGGATCTGGCATGGGGCAAAGAAAGGCACAGTTAAAGCAGCAGCACCTGGTGGAAACGATGTAAGCACCTCACAAAAAAGCTGAAAAACAGTAATATGGTTTATGTTGGTGGATAGCCTTTTCATATGTTTTTCGTCTGGTATGGTAGTTATATGAATGATGAGGCACTAGTAGCAGCACCTCCACCACAGTTTGTCATCTTGACCCTGTTATTGTGAGCAATTTGGGGCCTCACTCGAAATGCAACTTGTGTTCTTAACGGTTGCGTGTGTGTATATATATATATATATATATATATATATATGCTACTTCTCCTTATGGCAGTGAAATTGGGGAAATTATCTTAGTGCTGTTTACTATTCTTTCTCTATTCCGTATCTGGTGAAATTCTATAACCAGAGTTGGTGGGGTTCATAAAATGATTATTAATAGATAAAGGTTAATGATTGAGTGTTTGATTTGCTTCTGATGGACCACTGCAGGTATCGTTTTTGCATATTCTGCTCTGGAATGTTACGCGGCGAGAAGAGCTGCAAACAGTTGCTTCAAACAATGACGTTTTCTGACCATTAAGCTTGAGTTAGGATAAAAATGATCAGAAGATGTTATTGCATAATTCGATTATAATCTCATACAGCTCAAACTAAGGCGAAAGCTTGATTAACAACCGTTGCAAACCAAACCGATGAAAGTAATCTAATTTTATATGGCTAGATAGCTTTCATCTCTATGGAGGAAGTCTACAGAGTTGGCAATAGATTGGTTTGTTGACTCAGCTCGAAGGTGAGCAGTGTTGCAGGGAACCTCTTCCAGCTCTTTCAGTGCAAGAGAATAAGGACTGTCGATCTTTATGTCGGTCAGCACTTGGCGAAGATCGGAGGTTTCTTCCTTGAGCCTTGCATTCTCTTGAAGAACTAAGTCATGGCACTCAGATACATGATTTAACTTATCGATGAGACTCTGGTTCTCGTTGCGAAGCCTGATTACCTGTGACCAAAGTTCATCTAGGTGCTTCTGTTTCCGCATCCTGGACCGACGAGCAGATTCTCTATTAGATATCATTCTTCGTCGTTTCCTTTCGTCGATGATGCTTACCTGGTGTTCCTCAGCTTCGTCTGAAGTCGAATTATTGCTGAAACTTGAGGACTGTGCAGTGAATTCGTGTGCAGGTGGCTGGATGTGGAAATTTGGAAGGTTATTTAAGAGTCTATTGAAATGAAAACCTGGTATAGTATTTTGCATCATGCCTATGTTGGCTGGAACTAGGATCTGGTTTTCAGGTGCTAGGTAGTGAAGTCCTGTAAGCTCACCCGGAACCATGCTTTAAGCTCTGAAGTCGATGCCTGAAGCTTTAAGGATTGGTTATAATGAACTGCAGTGCAGTGACGGTTGAGCCTTTGAAGGTAAGGGAAAATGAAACAAACGACGAGGTTTTATAAGAGGAAAAAAAGTTTGAAGTGGGCCAGTTTCTGCAACAAGTGTAACAGTATCAGGGCTTACAAAAGCAGCAGAATTGAAACATTTATCATTAATGTACATGTTGCTCTTGTATAATGATACATGTGCATGCATGTATGTATGTATGCATATATACATGCATGCATGAGAGAATACTTGCTGATGGGAGTAATAATTTGAGTGAGGAATGTTTCAAAGACAAGAAAAAGGCAACTGAAAAATGGTGTTGGGGTCAACCTCAGGATAAGTCTTCATACTTCAAAACTTCAACCATTAACTTAAGCATAGTTCCTATAAAAAAAACCTTTGAAGGAGATGACCCATTAAGCACTTCAATTCACCATGGTAGACTTTGGGAATAGTTCAGTATCTCTTACAGGTTATCCATTTTGTTCTATTCTTTCATTGCATATCATCTATAAGTGCTTAAAGTACCTTTCTATGGTAATATTGTTTATACTTCAACTAAGTAATAGCAATAACTTTATCAGCACACAATCAGTTGTTTTCTTGATGATTAATTAATAAATTTACTTTGAAGATAATCCATATCTCCTTAAGGCCCACTTTCAAACATGATAAGGGAGACATTAATAAAAGGAAAGATTATATAAAAATGAAAGTCTAGGCAAATTTAAGAAGCAGCAACTTGCAAACGCGTTGTTTTTTGCTATTTGTTAATGGAGTAGAACATTTCTGTGCAAAATACCTCTACAAAAGCATAATTAGGCAATTCCCCACTAAAAGACTAGCTCTAGCTAGGCTGCTATTTCTTAAAAAAGGTAAACAAATTACTGGATAGGAGTTGGGGGGGGGAGAAACATAGAGAACGTGTTTCAATACAAAGCTTCTAAAGAAAGGTTAGGTAAAATGGTATTTGGAAAAAATATTCTGCACTATTGTTATATCTGTTAACTTATCATTAAACTTGATGTATGTGCATGCGTGCAAAATGATGACAAATATTATATTTGGAGCTATAGGATATAGCTTTAACATTCCTATGTTCTAGTCCTTGCAGATTTGTTGATGCCTTATTCCCTTCCTAGCTAGGCTTTGCCAACGCCGAACGCAGCAAAGTTATGCCCATGAAGGCTGCTTCCATTATCCTCCTATTTCTAAATTTTGCAGCAAGGCTGAGAAGGAATGGATGGTAAGATATGTGAAGAACCTTTCTTGCATGTAAATATATTAGGACTATATTCATAGAAATGAAAAAAAGAATCAAAGCCAAACTTTCTAAGCAACACCTGAAAATTAAAGCTGCCAGAAACGGAGTTGAACAAGCATGATTGACTAATAGTAAGTTTCGTAGGGGAGAAAAGAACTAGACAGAGCTGGAATAGGTCCATTCCCACAAGTTGATGGCGTGTGGGTGCCATAATATATGCTATTTGGTGAAGTTGAATGGACAAATTGTCTGTTCATCCTTGATTTCAGGTGCAGAATATGAGCAACTTAACATACATCACTGATAATTTGACTATACTGTGTGATGTAAGATGAACTTTGCCATGTCCATCGATGTTGGCGGTACGTTTGCATTAAGGGAACATCCATGATGGCAACTGAATAACGAAAATTAAGTATATGAAATGTTATCATATCGAAATATCGGTTTTCCCAAAGTTAAGCTATTATAGTCCATAGATGTTAGCAGATTGTAATCCTTCTTAGCTCTGGCAATGTCATGCATATGATTAAACACTTTTGAGAGACAAAACAAGCATCAAACGTACACCATATAGGTTTCGTCCCGTGTATTGGCTAAAACTGGAACTGTTTATTCAATAAACGAGAATACCCTTGATTTGATTTATCATTGGGAAATTGGAGGACGAGCAAAGTTTTTTGGGGGCCTACCAATTAAAGAAAACAACAAAGAAGGTTTGAAAAGGAAAAGAAGTAAAGGAGGGACCATAAATGGCTTGCACAAATGGTTTTTCGTTATCCTCATTCATGCCTGCCCTATAATTTTTGCTATAGCTAGTAGTGTACAGATGAAGAAGGGCCGGTGTTACGTACGGAGGGGGACTGGATTCAACACCTAATCCATTTGGTGCCAAACATCGTCTGAGAGTGCAACATTTTGAATCGGCACACATAATTGCTCAAGTGGGTCCTTTATACTAGTGACCTTGGGTGCCTGGTGCACCATTCTTGCATTCAATTGCACAGCTAGTCAATTCAACTCCAATATACCAACTCTCTCTACATTCACATATTTATTTCTTAATTCATAATGAAACTAAGGTATAATATGCTACATGTTATGAAGAACATACATTGCAGTGCTCCTAGCAAACTCTTGTTAAAATCTTAAAAACCAGCAGGTTAACCAGGCTCGTGATCTTAGTGAAATTTCAGTCATTCAAAAGAAAATAAAACCATGGAAATGGTAGCAAGAGTGTTTTTATTTGTACTTTTATTGCTTTAAAAAACTGATTGCTTTAGTGATGGTTGGGGTCTCTTGGAAAATCTGTGACCACACAAGGGTACCATATCAGCATCTAGTTTAAAACTTTTTTAGGCTTCTCCATCATGGAATGGCAAAAGTTTGGCATCATCACCCGTACCAAATGTGCACAGTCTCCACTTTCCCCTCCACTTAAACAACCCCACATTTTTTCTTTCCTTTCAATTTCTTTGGTGAGGTCATCATCTTTTCCTGTGATTGGTTCAAACAAGATAAGCTCATTCCCTGCATCTTATTGAGAAAAAAGAACAAGTTGCAGTTTCTTTCTTTACTGATATTTTTCAAAAACCTTCACAATGCCTTGTTGTCAATGGAAAATAGTTTATTTGTTTTATAATAATAATAATAATAATAATAATGGTGGAAGGTGCCATTAGAATATTAGTGACCCGCATGCTTGGTATTTTGGCGCTGACCTTAGCTTCATTAAGGTGCTTTAAACAAATTTTCTAGTCCAACTAGTGATCTTAATTATATATAGTTTGTCTTCATTAACTGCAGGCTCTGGTTTAATAGTGATTTATGTTGAGCTTTGATAACTTCCAAAGGGTTCCTGCAGGAACCGTTGATCATTAATCATTGGATATTTTGTTCATGAAAGGATCGGTACTGTCCCCACCATATTTCTTCATTGTACAATCCTTAAAGTAACAGTGTTCCCAAACTCGCAACCGATCGACGTGCCACAATGATCAATCACTATCTATCAGTGTTTGATCAATGATGAAAAGTCTACGTCTCTTGTGCATTTGTCCAGCAATTAAGCCACTAGAAAGACCTGAGTTCTTCCTGGTAACTGATATGTCCCTTGCTTGCTTAATGATCTCATACCATATTCCTGAAAACAAATCAGCATCAAGAAGTCGATATACGCAACCGTCCATTGTGTATAAATTAATATTATTTACATTCCTATAGGATTGATTAAATTGATTCTTCAAGTACCCTCAGCCACAAGCCTTATTAGCCTTAGCCCCACTCATTAACCAACCAATTCCCCAATGACAAAATACATAAGCAAATGTGCTCTTACCCGCTTTGTATACCATCAGAATCACTTTTGAACCTAACCAAAAAAGAAGAGCAAGCATGTCAACCACAAAACTTTGGTGTCTCCATTAACCAGTAAATTGCCTCATGGGACTAAACTTTCAAACCAAAGTAGGGTTAACTAACCATGGTTGTATATACAGTAAACAAAGTATTATCCAACTATGATTTCCCACTTATGACCTTGCTTTTGTCGACTACAGGCTCGAGAAATATCCAGGAAACACACTTCTGCAATATGACTAAATTCTCCATGCTCTCTCTGAGAGGTCTGGGGGAAAATAAGTAGTCATTTACAGGGTTTAATACACCAAAGCCACTCGCAAAGAGCCAAAGTCACATGCGAAAGGTCTTGAATAGCAATGAGTGCAGTTTTTTTAATGCATGAGGGGACACTTTGAGTCTATTATGGCCTCCCCATTTTTTTTGAATAGGACAAAATTATTTGCCTTATATATCTCTTTTCTTTCACATTGATCAACTTTTTCAATAATTCTCAGCTCTTCAACTTTTTTCTTTATAATTCTTTTGATACGTGGTCACTAATGTTAGTCACTTGCTCATCCTATGATCAGCTTTAACTATTGATCCATTTGAACGTCTGGACAAAAATAGAAACAGTAGAAGGCTTTTCTATGTTTAAGACTACCTTTATACCCCAGGATAATCCCTCAAGGTCTTATAGATTATTCTAGTGAGTTGTATTTAAATCCTGGTAGGTATAAGGTACTTGTCAATTGATGTTGCAGTGAATTGGTATCTTATGAAGTCCACTATCAGAATCGTTCTTGCATGTAACCGCAATCGCAATAAATGTAACACAACAAAAAATACGACTGCGATTTAAATCTCCAGTCATGATTGTTCAACAATATAAAAATTGAATACTACTCGAGGGATGAAAAGTCAACTTGAAGATCTCTAGGCATTTTTTTGGCCTAACCAACTTAAGACAACGAGGCAGATTATGAGCAACGAGAGATGGTAAATGGAGGAAATGCAAAATCTTCCATCCACCGAAAGCAGCCTGTCGATATCATATCGTCTTGAGGAAGGTTTTTTTTTATACAATATTTCTTTGTTTATTTATAGCATAATCTACCCTTAGAGCTTTTACCAAATAAACTTTGTGGCCGTATGCATTGGCTTAAAGACAGATGTAACTTTAAACAGCTTTTGATTATAATGATAATGACACAAAATTGAAGTCTGTAAACTTTTCTGATATTTAATTGCTATGATGAGCCGTACAATTTGGACAAAACGATCTTAAAGTTCAATATTCAAGCATTGTTGCCTAAAACAGGCATGTTGAAATGACTAAGCCCATTTTGCCATCAAAGACATAGACCCAGAACCAAGTAAAACTGCAACATATGACCAAGCCTGGAGTTTCATATTTTTTGAAGCTTAGGGCCTAGAAAATCAGCTGCAAGGAGATCAACCAGTGCCATGTAATTCAGCAACCCTGCTGAGCTAGCGTTAAGTAGTCCAACCACAATAAGCGCGGTCGGGCTAGTCTGGCTGTAAACCTTCGTCAAACCAACTCCCAGAACGATTCCGAGTGGAGTAGTGACTGAAAAGAAGAACACCATGATTGCTTTCATTCGGAACTTGTATTCAGCCTGGAGATCAAACATGATGTTCATCAATAATGTAGGCTAAAAGGCATTATAAAAATGGTGTAAAGTTGGATCACCTGTAGTATGCATCCGCCCAGTCCCATTCCCTCGAACATTTGGTGGAAGCAAAGAGCAGCAATGAGTGATCGAATGGTGCACCGATTGTCAGAGGCTCCCATTGCAAGACCAATCACCACTGAATGAACCACAATTCCCAACTCTAATACCTGAATTTATGAAATTTATATCATTTAAACTCAAAGATGGCAACTTTGATTGTCAAAAAAACAACATTAATTGAGCATTCAAACCTGAGCAATTACTCGATGCCTTAACAATTGAGATGATGTATAATTCAGGTCCAGTGCATGGCCATGTCCGTGTTCAAGATTCTCTATTGTTCTATTCCCATCTTCTTGTGTAGCTCCATTGTTAGCTGGACCGCTACGTTTCTTGTATAAACTCATGGCAAATGAATCCACCATAAGGGTGAACAAAGCCGACAACATCGCTACGAAAGTCGTGAAAGGGAACTTCTTCCATGGATTTCTGGGCAAACAGTCGGACATCAGGTCGTTGAAAGAATCCGGCAACACGTGCATGTACCCGGTCGCTAGAATAACACCGGAAGAGAACGCCTTAACGACGGTGAACAGGTTCCGGTCGGGTGCAAGTGACGGCATGTAACGAGAAAACAGCGGTAAAGACACGCCAATCACGCTGGATACCAAAATCGCGACGAAGGCGATCACTTTCAGCTTCATGGATTCCCTCTTGTCATGGCATCCATTAGAGAAGATCTCCTTTTCACATTGAGCCAATGTAGTTGGAGCAGAAGATAAGATGACGATGACGATGATGAAAAGAACAAAAACGACGGCGTTCGGAAGTGATTTCGGCAATGATTTCATAGTTTTACCAAGATTCACAACAAATTTGGATAATAGGGCTTGATTGACCGATTGGTTTAGAGAAAATAAATAAAACGTATATTTGTAACTACGGTGGATGAAATGCCTAAAATACCGTTATTAGCGTGATGAAATTATTAAATTAGTAGGGTAAATTAGAGGAGAGAATTGAAGGTATTTTGGTAACTTCAGTACGACGTAGAGGAAACTTGTGCATGGGGTACGACATGTGTGACCCACCTTAGACTTTCGTGACGTTTGACTTCTCTAATCTCATTAGAGCACACGTCAAACATAAGCCTTTTCTGCTGACGTGGTATCTTTATTAATTGCAATCTAAATATTTGGTCTTTTGATACGGGCTATGATTGGAGGCTCGTTTCGTCGGTACAACTAAGTGGGCTTACGAGGCCTGTCAAAGTCCAATTTGGAATAAGCGTTCGACTGATTCGAGTTAAAAATTTTGAATTATTCTAATCAGTGAATTATATTTTATAATTTTGAATTTAACTTAATTTTTTTTTGAATCGAATTGTTTAAAATTATATTAAAATTTAATTATAAATATTTATAATATTATGATATTATTTTTATTTGTATTTTATCTTATTTTTCTCCATTTCCCTGTTTTTCTTTTAGTTTCTTTTGTTGCTGTCATGCCACCATTGATGGAAATTTCGATGGTTGAGTTCAACTGTTCGTTGTGTTTACATCCGCCGGATATAATAAGAACACTATTAGTTTCTCATTATTTAATGGGTAAATTACACATTTAGTACTTAAACTATTAGTTTTAGTCTATTTTAGTATTTAAATTTTTATGTTTTTCAAAATCATATCTAATGTTTAGTTTTCATTTCATTTTAGTATCTCAGTTAAAAATTTAACGCATTTAGTACTTAAACTATCAGTTGTGATCCGTTTTAGTACCTAAAATTTTAATTTTTTTCAAACTTAATATTAAATTTTGAACGGGATACGAAAATGAAATGAAACAAAAACAAAAATTTTAACAGCATGACTAAAATGAAACAAAAATTAAACTTTATGTATGATTTTTAAAATAAAAATAAAAATTTATATAATAAAATAAATCAAAACTGATAATTTAAGTAATAAACGTGTAATTTATCTTTATTTAATTAAGATGGATAATTATAACAGTTAGAGTCGATCATCTAAATAAAATCATTATTCTTTAAAAAAATAATAAGTTCAATTATTGCTCACTTCAAACTTGATCGGAGATGATAGAGGGGACAAGTAGAGCAGTAGAATGTTTGAAAATCTAAAATTAATATATATTTTAATTTTTTTAATATTTTTTATTGATAATTTATATCCACTTTTAATATTTTGTAAATTTAAATTAACATCTTTAAAAAATTTAAAAAAATAAATTAACTTTTTTAACATAAAATTTTACGTTACTCCATCTCTTAACCATCATAATGCTCTCGAATATCATAGAATGGGTGGGGCCGGGGGCGGATATCTCGGATTGACGGTGAAACACAATCATAGAACCTGCAAGAGCTCTTACCAATGGGACGAGGAAGAGTTTAGTTTGTGCGGTTGGGATTACATCTCTTAGAATCCAACGGTTCATCTGGGTGCTGACATTAATGCTATGCTATTATTATTTTGTCTTGTATGGTAATTATTAGTAAATAGACGATGTTGCTTTATTCATATATATATATATATATATATATATATATATATATAATTATCAAATATTTATAGGTCTCCATACCTTCCATCGTCATAAATGACAAAAAAAATTACATTGAATTTTCATTGTCTTTCAATTTTCAATCTTTCATACAATTTTATGATTACTTTTCTAATAATTTGATTTAATTATAGGGTAGTATGTATTAAAGTTTTTATTTATTTATTTATTTACTATATTTTAAAAAATTTAACCTTTCGATAATGTACACACGTCTTATAAATATAGTTATTCAAATTCAAAATCTTTAACAAGCACAATATTTTATTTTATCACTGAGATCATTCGAGTCTCACAGTGGGCAATTCATAATTCTGACTGCCGGAGGTCTTCTACGGAAGCTGCTCTAAACCTGGCGTTGAGGGCAACCTACTACCTTACCTCTCCTCACCCCATTACATCTGGGAATAGGGTCAGTTAATTTACTGAGATCATTCGATAAATTCTTAAAAATTAAATTATTTAATTTTAAAACATAATTATTTCATAAGAACAAATTATTGAAAATTGATTTTATTGATTTTAGAATTGATATGTTTTAAAAAACAATTTAATAGAAGGTAGAAATAAGATTTAATAATTTAATCAGTGACACATGCAATTAATTAATAAGCAACAAATATAAATCTTCAAATTGGTGTTCTCTTCATAAATAAACTAAACAAAGCCAAAACCTCAACGATTACACTATACTGGCAATATAACGCCAGTTTTAAAACAAATTCATTAAATAATTTATTTTTTTTTCATTTGAAGTAGTCATTAATATTAAATAAAAAAGATAAATTACGTTTTTATTATTACATTTTAGTTTGTTTTTGGTCATTTAACCATTCCTTTAAATATATTTGTGGTGTATCATTTATATTTATTTTCATCTTTGATGGTTAACGCGACAACAACTTTGATGATATTTGTCAACCGTTGGTATTTTTATTATCCTTTTATTTTTATATTATATATTTATTTTCTTTTTGTTTTAAACTTTCCAAGAAGTGGGTGGAAGGCAAAAACGCTGTCGCTTGCAGGGAGAATTACTCTTGCCAAGCAGTGGCGGATGCATTAAGTCTCCATAGGGACCAAGTGCATCCTCATTATTTTGGAAATATGGTTAAATTTAATTTAATGTGTTAAGGAAAAAAGAAAAAGAAATTACAATTTTGCATACCCATTATTTAAAAAAAAAAGAAAATTAAAATTTTAGACCCCACTCTTAAATTTCTGGATCCGCCTTGTTGGGCTTATCAGCAATTCCATCATACACTATGCAAACTACGGTCCTTCCTAAGCGGATATGTGTTGAGTTGGAACGTCATATTAGACGCTTTATTTGAAGGATTTCTCCTAATAGTAGGGGTATCCATCTTGTTCGTTGGGATGAGGTGTGCAAACCAATTTCTCATGGTGGCCTCAGTTTTTGATCGATGCGTACTCGAAAGGAAGCCTTTCTCATGAAGTTGGCGTTCAATTTAATTGCCAAAAAAGACACTTTATGGGTTCAATTTCTTCGAGCCAAATATAAGTGTGATGATGGAATACCCGGAACGTTACGAAATAGCAACTGTTCGAGGTTTTGGAAAGGCTGGGCATTGTTTGGAATGATGTCCGTAGTCATATGTGTTGGAGAATTGGCAATGGGAAGGATGTTGACTTTTGGGTTGATGATTGGGTTCCACATGCTGGTCCTTTGATTAAGCATGTACAACATCAAAATGCATCTTATATTAATAATGTCCGTGTAGCCAATATGGTGGATGATGAAGGTAACTGGCAGTGGGATTTATTTCAACACTTACTTTCATGACCAGTTTTGTTACGTGTGGCTACTATAAAAGGTCCAAAACCTATGCTCAGAGAGGACACAGTGGGGTGTTTAGGTCCAGGGGATCGTAACTACTCAGCGAAGTCAACCTATGATATTCGAAATGCTTCACTTGGAGTTGCCCCAGGTCAGTGTTGGAAGCATATTCATAGTTTTTGAGGGCTACAACGTATCAAAATTTTCATGTGGCTAGTGTGCTGTGGTAAATTGATGACTAATGATGAGCGCATGCGGAGACATTTCATCACATATAGTTGCTGTCCGATATGTCATGTTGATTTAGAAAACATAAATCATAAGCGTCGCTTATGCCCAACGACTTATTCTCTTTGGGCATTGCTGGTTAAACATGATAACTTGGAAGATTTTGTCAGCATGGACATTCATGATTGGATTAGTGTAAACTTAGCAGATACACGTTACTTTTCCATTGACCATGGAGAGTGGGATTTGTTTTTGGGTGCCATTCTTTGGAACATTTGGTTGTTCGGGAATAATATGGCTTTTGGTAACATGGAGGACGTTGGTAGATCCATTTTGGATCGAAGTAGGAAGCTTCTAAAGACCATGCAGCATGCTATAGACGGAAACAACACCTCTAGAAGCGTGGGAGCTGTGAAAGGAATCGATCCGAATTCTTGGTCAAGGCCACTGTTGAGATGAGTTAAATTGAATACAGACAGGGCTCGGAATGAAATGGATGGTCGAGCGTCGTGTGGTGGTGTGATTCGTGACCATTCAGACAATTGGCGAGTTGGCTTTTCTACGTTTATTGGGATTTGATCGGTTTTGGAGGCAGAATATTGAGGTATCTACACTGGTATGCTTGTAGCATGGGATCTCGGATATAGAAGATTGGTGATTGAGTCTGATAGCAAAGAGGCGGCAACTTGACAGGGAGCTTCCACCATTTTATTACATATTCGTGCGTGGTGCCACAGCCATTGGATTGTAAAATTTCAGCATATTTAACGGGAAGGAATAAGGTTGTTGATAGAATGACTAAATTAGCCATATCCGATCATTTCGAGCTTCTCCGACTTGATGACCCGCCTTTAGAGGTTTGTGATTTGCTGCTTGTTGATAGCAGTCACTAAGCTGTAATTCTGGTTTATGTTCACTACCTTACCAAAAAAAAATATTATTAGATGTTTATACAATTTATTGATATAATATTTTTTGCAAGTGTCGAGAATATGAATGTATGATAATGAAAGCATATTTAATAAACGTACATGCATGGGATACAAGTGTATGACATATGCAGTGATATGTGCATGGATGGATAAGCGGAGCGGGTGGGATAGTCGCCCCTGAAATTTTAAAATTATCATATATTTTTAAATTTTTTTATGTATTTTCTATTAAAATTATGTTTTTGTCTCCTTGGAATTTTATAAGTTGGTCATTCTTAAAATTTTAGAAGTTCGCCCCTTGCATGAAATCCTACGTCCGTCCTTAGTGATTTGTATATGAAATTAAAAGCATGCTACCAACAATCAGTTGGTCTAGTGAGACGAGACACTAGATCCATTAAGTACGGTCAGATGTTCAAATCCTGAGCATTTGGGAATGAAGCAAACTCGCCTATACATTATTCGATCTAGACTAGTCGATTAATAAATCAGATACTAATAGTTAATAAAAAAACATATTGGCTTTGCCAGTTCGACTATATGAATATGTTTAATTTACCTTTGTGATTATATATTACATGTATATATTATGTATAATATATGATATATTGATAGTGTTACCATATTATGTTTGAGATAAATGATATGTTTTAGACACTCTCGATGTGAAAACATGCTTATGGCCTAAATAATTATATGAAAAATAACATTATCATTGTGCTTAAATGCATATATAAAATATTTAAAAAATATTATTACATTTACAACAATAAAAAATTACGTTAAATAAATATTGTTCTCTTTTATGATCATAAATTCGAATAATTGTATCAAAACATGTACATTATCAATAATTAAAAAAAATAAAAATAAATATTAACTTATATCAGCTTATTCAAAAATAAGAAATAAAAAAAATTCACTAAATTATCTAAATTCCTATTTTATTTGGCTATATATTGATAAAATGAGGCCTCCTAGACAAGCCCGAATACGGCCCGCCCAGCTCCGCCTTGTAGCCAAGCCAAGGCCACCTTTGCTTATCTATCCGTTTCGTTTTCATCTTCAAATTTGACTCTATCTGAAAACATTTCTTCCTTCCCTGCTTCCATAAAATCTCCGAAAATCTCTAATGCTATTACTAAGAGACAATCTTCCCGTCCCATTTCTATCCTTAATTCCAAAACCCCACCTTAGAAACCATGTTTTTCCCTCCAAAAAAGCAATCACATTCCCAGGATTCCCACTAAAAAATGACATCATCTCCTGCAATCTCAAGGTGTTTCCTTTACGTCCTCATCTTCTTCTTCTTTTTAATATTCGTTTGGCTTATAGTTGGTTACAAACTGGGCTGTGATGGTTTCGTGTTGTTGGGATTTTATTAGATGGCCAATGTGGTGAGGTTTGATGGACCCGTAATGGATCCTACCGGAGTGGAAGATGATGAATTGGTGGTGGAGACCTGCATTACGCGCACTTTGCCACCGGCTTTAACACTTGAGCATGGTCTTCAGAGTATTAAAGCGGCTGTGGATGAGTTGAAGTTTAATCCTCCTTGTGCTTCTAGTGGAGTTTTGAGATTTCAGGTATATATCACACACACAAAATTTTTACTGAAATGATTCTGTTCATTTAAAGTTATATTTTTAAAATCAAATTTGCATCTCAATGTGGTTTCCAATGAGGAAAAAAATTCCATTTGTGAATTATGCTATGTCTTCTCGATAAAATTTTGGTATGTTGATTTGTTTGATAATAGTATATATGCCAGTGAATTAGTACTTACATAATTGATGTGTTTTATTTGTCAGGTTGTGAAGAAACTAGATTTTGAAAAACACATTGTTAATTACTTTTTTTTTTCTTTTGTTTCATTTATTAGAATCAATGCAGTGTGATTGTTGTCTTTGCAGGTTGCTGTGCCCCCAAGTGCAAAAGCTTTAAATTGGTTTTGCTCTCAACCAGAGTCCTCTGGTGTTTTTCCTTTGTTTTTTCTTTCTAAGGAGACGGCCAGTCCGACATGTAAATCATTATACATGAATGGAGTTCGTGGAGTTTTGGTATTGGAACTGCTATTTCCTTTACAAACTCTTCTTTTGTACCTGGAGAACTAAGTTCAACCAAGAGGTTAGTGCTATTCTTTTTTTTACATGTGTTTCCTCTTATTTTCTTTTTTAGCGTTTTGTTTGTAAACAGCTTTCCTAAGAGTCTTAATATTCTTGATATCAACTTGAATGAAATGATCTGTCAAGATGCCTTTGATCCTTTGTTAGTTTTGCTAGTAATTATTATTGCAAAGCTATTTATTTATGAAAAATATAAAACAAAACAACATTGTATTCGTACATTTGATTTATGCTGCAAAATTCATAAAAGGAGAACTCTTGTGTGATGAAGTAACCAGAAACTGACTGTGCTTTAATCTATCAAGCTTAGTCTCCTAGGAAGTTGGTGTCTCTGTCCTGTTTGACCTGGAAAATTTGTGTTTAGTTCCGCTCTAAGTTGGTATTGAACCCTGAAGTTTAGCTTCTTGAATTCTTATTTTCCTGTAACTTGAATTTGAAGATTAGTTTTTCCTTGATGCATTTTTTTTGAATGTTTTTCACGTTGTGTTAGATTAGCTGAAGGAATTTATTATTTACTTCAACATTCTTTTTGAAATAATTCATACGTAAAGAACGTACTATAGCTTTTTTGCAGATTTCTTTTGAATGATTCGGTCCTTCTGTCAACTTATGGTTTTCTGGATATTAATTTCAACACAGAATTCTCTTCTGTGAAGAACAAGGATGGTTCTTTTTACTTTTTCATTCCTCTGGTAAGCTTGTTCGCATTTAGCAGTTAGCATGTATTTTAATGCAGCCAATATACCTTTCTGTTTTCTTCATTGATAATCTAAGTCAAATGTTATTTGATCACTGCCAAACTTCTGTTGAAAGTGCTGCATGTATTTACGATTTTCATCTGTTTCAGCAGATTGAGTTAGATGAGCATGATGGTATCTCTATTTTAGCAGCCACCTTAGCATGGTGTGATTCTTACTCGTGTACATTTGAGCAGGCCATTCATTCTTATGAATCAGCCTTTATCAGGTTCTCGTAACTTCCTATGCCTAATCATGTTGCGTCTTACTTTCAGTTTGTATAACTTAGGTATTCTGTTAGGATGATGAATTCTGGATTCCAGTTGGCGTGATATTTTGATGCCAAGTTCATAGAACTAATTAAACCATGAAGCCTAAATGTTTTTATTGACTTTTAATAGTATGGAACTTGTACAATGCCCCTCAAACTTTTTGTAACAGGTCTTTGCTAGGAAATGATAAGATTGTATTCACAGTTCTCAAAATTAACCTAGTGCCCATAATAATCTTCATTCTATGTTTCGTTGTAAAAAATGGCTAAATGAATAAAATAAGAAATTTTAAGTTTGAATGTTCGGTTTTTCATGTAAGATATGTTTGCTTGATTTTAAAGTTTCAAATGTACTTGCATGATTGCTTCCCAGGTCTATGGTTATTGCTGAAACCTTGCTTTAGTTGCTCTTCATCTGGTTGAAATATTTTTCCTGAGGTGCTTATGTTTTTCACTTTCAGTCCGTTTTTAAAGTTTTGTTTAAAAATACCTTTTGCTGAATTTCTTCAGGCAAGTTCTCATTTTTGGCCCGCTACGGAGAGATGCCACTCTGGACGTGTAAGAGCTGCCATTAGAAAACTTAATGTGGTTGAGTACAACACTATGCAAATGGTATGCATTCTGCACTTTGCTTTCCTGTTCCTTTCTCTATATATGTTCCTTTTTAGATTCTTGTTTCGTCTCAATGACTTTATTTTGTGCCACCTGGACTTTTGATCTTTGCTTATTTAAGGATGATGGCCAGTTTTGCTTAGAGCAAAGTAGACTTTCACATGGTAATCTATTTTAATATTCTAAGAAGAAAGGAAGAGATATTCCAAGAACATAGAAAGTGAAATTTCGAATGAAGAGAACCTAAGTTCTGTTTGTATTTCTTAAAAAAATAAAAAACCAGCTTGCTTTTATAGGTTGAGAATTACAAAAGTAGAATTTAACTAGTTGTCTCTTTCTTAACCTTTATCTCCTAAGAAAACTTATCTTCTAAAAAGATAAACAGAAAAAAATCCTTTTCTAATAGTTTTTTAAATCATGACAGCTATCCACACTCTCCCTCAAGTTGGGTGCAGAAATAGTTTTGTAAGATGATCAAGGCTTGGATGACCAAGGCGAAATGCCATAACATAATTGGATCTAAAACATTAGAATTAAGAGAAGTAGTAAGAACAAAGTTGGTTATACAACTTCAATGAACTTGTCCATGTAGAGGAGAGTTCACCTTTAAGCAACTTTATTGTAATTATTTGTCTTTATAGTTACCCGCTTTCCGGTGTTAATGTTGAAGAGCGAAGACAAATGATTTTGATTTATGTCTTCAAGCAAAATTACTTGTATGCTTTTCTGAGTTTGTCCCTGGGAAAGGGCACAATTGAGAATCACATCATTGATGTTTAGGTGTTATTATTGATCACAATGTTTTACTAGGCATATATGAATATCCCTTCTGGCGGAAGAGATTTTGAAGCTTTCACCTTGGAACTGGTAACTCCTTTTTTCTGGTAATAATTTATACTTAATTTTTCATAACCCAATTTGCTTCAAGTGTGTTTACTGTCTTTACTTAAAATTAACAGTTTTCTGAATGGCTTTATGTACTAAATTTTCTTGCAGAAAGGGGCACCTTCTTCCATGCAGTTCTGTCTCAGGTTTTCATCTACCATTGGTGTTGCCCGCAACGTGGTATAATACTTGTGCTGGTTACTCTGGAATTCGATCTTTTAAATACTCTGTCCGTACGGCATCTGTTATTTGAATATGAAGAAAAATATCACTGATATTCTACATGCTAAGTGCAAGGAGGACAGGCAATTTGTATCAGTATCAATTGGTTTTTTCTGCAAACACATGTTTTTTTTCTGTAAATGGAATGAAAGACATAAACTATCGCTTAGCTAATATTTGGTTATTCAAAGAAGCAGGAATAAAATAAATAAAGTAAATGCAATTAATAGTTTTGAGGATTCATGCAATAGAACTAAACGGCTATTTTTAGGATTAGTCGACCCAAATTGTGGTATCAATATCATCTTTAATTTTACCTTGTATCAAAGATAAATTAGATAATAACACAAAATGTTCTTGTTCGAAAAAGTTAATGCAGCAAATGATGCGGATATTAGGATCTTTATAGAATGTTGCAATAAACAAACTGGATGATGGTTGTTAAAATTTTATATTTCCTTCTGATTGTCAGTTGGGTTAGGCCGCCGAAACAACCGATTCCATTCAAGATTGTGCAAATATCAATGCTGTTTGGGCATCACTTATAGTTGAAGAATGTTCTCGCCTTGACTTGACGGTGAGTTTTATTCATCGTCAGATATGTCTGTACTCTGCTGGGTTTGCCTGATTATTCTTCATTGCAGTATTTTTGTGTAGCTCCAGGATCAAGGTCAACCCCTCTTGCTCTTTCCGCTTCTGCTCATCCCTTAATAACCTGTGTTTCATGCTTTGATGAGAGATCACTTGCATTTCATGCTATTGGGTATGCAAGAGGGTCTAAGAAAGCGGCCGTCATTATAACAACATCAGGAACTGCGGTTTCAAATCTTTTACCTGCTGTAAGTTTCAGTGCAAATCTATGAAAAGTGCCGTGCCAGTGAAGGAACATCATATGATCAATAATTTTCCATGGTTTAGTTAATCAATATGCTTTTAGGGTTTTCAATTCATATTTTGTTGTAACATTCTATCTTGCAAATTGTAACGAAAAATTACGTACTAGTAATGTTCACTTGTCATACCTAAGGTGGTTGAAGCCAGCCAAGACTTTGTACCCCTTCTGATACTCTCAGCAGATCGTCCTCCAGAGCTTCTGGATTGTGGAGCAAACCAATCAATCAATCAGGTGAAATGAAATTGAAGTAACATATTTCAAAATTTATTTTGTATTTTCTTGTAACGCAGTTGTTTATAGTTTCAATATATTGGTTTTTGTAGACATATAACAATTTTTTATATTAGAATTTATTTTGTATTTGCTTGTATCACAATTGATCATACACACTACCTTACACTATACATACGTATAAATATATATCCATTTGCTTATTTGTTAACATTATTGTGTTGATTTGTATACTAGGTGAATCATTTTGGTTCTTTTGTAAGGTTCTTCTTCAGTCTTCCACCTCCCACTGATCAAATCCTTGCTCGGATGGTTCTTACCACACTGGACTCTGCTCTTCACTGGGCAACATCTCCACCAATTGGTCCTGTTCATATTAACTGTCCTTTTAGGGAGCCATTAGATAATAGTCCAGAAAAATGGAAATCAAATTGTTTGGAAGGATTAGATACTTGGATGTCTAATGCTGAACCATTTACCAAGTATATTATGGTGCAGCATTCTTATTTATGTAATAATGGTACACATGGCCAAATGGAAGAGGTTCTAGAAAAAATTCAAAGTGTTAACAAAGGGCTCCTACTTGTTGGTGCCATCACTACAGAGGATGAGATATGGGCAGTTCTTCATGTGGCAAAATACCTTCAATGGCCTGTTGTGGCTGACATATTGTCCGGGATAAGGTTGAGAAAGTTGTTGTCGTCCTCTCCTGAAGTTGAACAGAATATTATTTTCGTTGACTATCTTGACCATGCATTACTTTCAGATTCAGTTAGGGATTTGGTCCGGTTTGATGTAATTGTTCAGGTGGGACTTCATTTCTTTCCTCTTCTACTGGGTTTAATACCCTTTTGTATGGCAAGGGATAATGTTTCCAATTACTGTAGATAACAGTGCATGAAATAAATGAATGATTGTTATTATTTTGTGCCTAAGTTAGTAGATCATTGATACCAAGTCATTCATGATTCTATATGCCTTTCTTGTTGTTTTCTTCTGATTCTTAATTCTTAGCAGATTGGGAGTCGGATTACAAGCAAGCGAATCTCTCAGATGCTGGAGAAATGTTTCCCATGCTCATATATCTTGGTTGACGATCACCCAAACCGTCACGATCCTTCACATTTTGTAACACATAAAATCCAAAGCTCTGCCATTGAGTTTGCTAATATTTTACTGAAAGCCCAAATTCCACATAGAAGCAGAAAATGGCATGATTATCTACAAGCGCTGAATATGATGGTATTGATATAAGGCTGTGATTCTCTCCATGTTCCATTTATCTGTGTGTTGTGCATTTTAATGCATCGTCTGTTGTCTGTTCTTTTTTTTTCAGTTTATATTTTTTTTATCAATATCTAGGATAAATGAATCAATAGGTTGAGTATGGTTGCACCTTGTGTTTGGTTTATCTAGTTGGCAACAATTTGGTACCAAACGAAATTTGAAAATGCAAGTACAACAGTCTTTGCATATGATGTTATTGTATTGCCACGGCTGCTTGGTGCCAAAGTTTTATGCCATTCTGTAAATGTTGGCCTGATTTAATTCAATATTTTTCCCATGTTCAGAGCATATAAACACATATTCATCTTTATTCTAGACTTCAGCTTGAATTTCTTTCCTTTTTTTGGTCCATAAAGGAAACTCTACACTGTCTCCACAGTATCTTGTGATTTTACATTTTTTTGTATTTTTCCTTATTTAGAATTGATGTTATATAATTGCATCCATTGTTGGGATAAATGAGGATGCAAGACGAGATGCATATTTTCTTTATTGCTTTCTACCAAAATTACTGATAATTCGTCTCTCTGAAAATTGATGATATTATGGTCTGTCGTTCTTGTGTTCGTCTGTACCTCTGAAGTACACTTTCCATCTATTGTAGGTTGGACAGGAGATATCGTTTCAAGTTTCTTCTGAACACTCTTTGTTAGAACCTTATATTGCACATGTAATCTCAGAGGCACTTTCATCTGAGTCTGCTCTTTTTATTGGAAACAGCATGGTAATACGTGATGCAGACATGTATGGATGCAATTGGAGAAGTGATACTCACAGTGTTGCAGATATGATTTTAAATACAGAATTACCATGTACGGGGATATTGGTTGCTGGAAATAGAGGTGCTAGTGGAATTGATGGTTTGCTCAGCACAGCTGTTGGTTTTGCTGTAGGATGCAATAAGCGAGTATGTATTCACTTTAATCCTTTTGACATTCTGAAGCATTTATACGTACTACTTCTGGTAGAATGTTGTTCTTTATGATACTATTATTTCTTACGCTTTTCCCCCTTTTGTTGATTTGGATGCTAGAAAGACATCTTTCATAAAGATAGAAAACTTAGCTAAACTTTTGAACTTCCATAAGCAGATTCCTTTTCTAGTTTTCTTTTTCTTTTGCCCATAATTAACGATGCTAAAACTTCATGGGAAACAAGGGAAATCTTTGCTAAGTTCTTGCTTCTTTTTCTCTTCCTATCCATGCCTTATATTTTTGTGTTTAGTTTCTCTTCTTGTTTCTATATACGTTCCACTTTGAGGATATCTATAAATATTTATGTGTATGTTTAGGTGCTGTGTATGGTTGGAGATATTTCTTTCCTTCATGATACAAATGGCTTGGCAATTCTGAAACAGAGGTAATATTCTTTGTTCTCTTTGTTCGTAATAGATCCTTTATTCAACAACTTTGAAACACAAATAATCCTGCCCATGTATAATGCCATTAGTCTTGTCAGTTTTTGCTAAAAGTTGGAGGTCTCATTAGTCTTGTCAGTTAACTCTTTACTGTTAAATCTCTGTACTTTAACAATGTTTTCAATTGTGAGATGCGTAGTTTCCATTCTCTAAAATAGTTGTATAACAAAACCTATTTATTATTATTTATTTCATGCTGGCCATGAAGTGGTTTTAGCTTTCAAATTTTATTTTATTTTAAGGATGTTGCGAAAACCTATGACAATACTTGTGATCAACAATCGTGGCGGTGCAATATTCAGCTTCCTTCCAGTTGCAGATAGAACTGATCCAAGAGTGTTGAATCAATACTTCTATACTTCACATAACATTTCAGTCCAGAGACTCTGTGAGGCGCATGGGTAAATCCTTCAATTTTTTGTTGGTATTTATCAAAACTGATCACATAATTATCATATGTGCAGTGGGAGGTTTTCACCCTATATACACACAGACTTGCATATATTTAATGTTACATGTTTATTATTAAAAGTAGAGAATTTACTTGTAAGTTGGAATGTATCAGGTCTGTGTCAATTTAATGCCTACTACATCTTATCTGTTTAAACATTTTGTTAAGGGAAAATATATTTAAGAGTTACATACTTTTTGGTTTCTAATCTTATACATTAATTTTGAGGTTCAAAATCTGTTACAATTCTTCAGCAACCATATCTATCCTTCTTTCTGAACCATTTTCTACTAGTGTATTTTTTTTTTCAGTTAGATGTTTTGTTAGAAGATTACAGCTTGCTGAATATCTCAACAACAGAAATGTTAATGCCATTTATTAACTAATTTGACTTTTTCTATAGCATATGATTTCCTTAAATTGCAATCTAAATGAACCTCCTCACTAAGGTTTTCCATTGGAAACTTCTCCTTTGACACTAATACACAGGGTGAAGCATTTGGAAGTAAAAACGAAAATGAAACTACTTGAGGCTTTAATCTCATCACAGAAAGGAGACACAGATTGTGTCATTGAAGTTGAGAGCTCCATTGATGCTAATGCCACTTTCCACAGGTAATTAGGTTCTAAAGTTTCTTGACCAATTATGATTTCCGAGTTGAGGTAAATACCCGGTCAATCTGCTGACATATCTTTCTCTGTTTCTTAGTTATATAAGAAAATTTGCTTACCGAGCAGCTGAACATGCTTTAGGTGTCGTTTCAAAGCCTTCTCTTTCAGAATCTCTGTCACGAGGTTGCCACTACAAAATCAAATCAATTAGTTATTCTCTCTACAGGTATTGTTTCTGTGAGAAGAATAGATTTGAAACTTCCTTAACTTTACCAGTTATGGGGATTGTTTAGTATATATTTTTCAAATTTATATGGTTCCAGAATTCGGCTTTGTGCTCCACCTACTTCAAGAGTGTTTGATCATGACCGCACCAGATTTTATAGAGAAGGTTTTATTTTGTCTTTGATTCTTGAAGATGGAAGCATTGGGTATGGAGAGGTTAGTTTATGTTAGATTCATTATTTGTTTGTTTATAAGTTTGTATGTTATTATCATCTTCTCTTTTTCTCTTTTCTTGAATATTTATTCTATTTTTTTGACCTGTTGTTTTCCATCATCTTCTGTCACTTTGTGCAAGCTACCGTTCAGTCCTATTTATTTTTGCCTTACTCTTCTGAAACAGGTTACGCCCCTTGAAATTTGCCAAGAAAATCTGTTGGATGTAGAAGAGCAACTTCGTTTTCTTTTTCATACAACTGAAGGAGCTTCCATTAATTATTTTCTACCAATGCTCAAGAGTTCATTTTCTTCTTGGATATGGAAAACTTTAGGAATTCCGGTAGGCAGATATATCTACTTTTTGTTAGTAAAATGTGTATCTAGTAAGCAGGATGTAAAAAGGAAAATGTGGGTCAAAAACATTAATGTTCCTCCTAGGTGCGTTTATCTTTAAAAAAATCAATGGATCCTGATCTTCTATGCTTAGCTTATTTAATTATTGTTATGCAGGCATGTTCACTCTTTCCAAGTGTCAGATGTGGTTTGGAGATGGCAATCCTCAATGCTATAGCAGTGAGCCAAGGTTCTAGTTTATTGAAGATACTTCATCCTCTGAGGGAAAGAAATGAAGAAAAATATGAAAAATCGCCGAGTGTTCGTATATGTGCTCTTCTTGATAGTAGTGGTAGTCCGGAAGAAGTTGGTCATATTGCTACTGATCTTGTCAAAGAAGGGTTTACGGCAATTAAGATAAAGGTGCGTTAAACCTAAGTGGTTTTTCTTTTGATGTTGCAATTCACTTATATTAACTGGTTTCTTTTCCTGTCTTTTTGCCAAGACTATTGTAGCATATGATTAGTAAATTTTATTGAGTCTGTTTTTTTATTTTTATTTTAAGATTTTAAGTTTCTCATTGATGGTTCTTCTACAAAAGGTTGCACGTAGGGTAGATCCAGTTGAAGATGCTGCTGTCATACGGGAAGTAAGAAAGAAGGTTGGTTGCCACATTGAACTTCGTGCCGATGCCAACCATAATTGGACATATGAACAAGCTATTAAATTTGGCTTCTTGGTGAAGGATTCTACCTTGCAATATATTGAGGTAAAACTTGTCAAAAGCTTGATAAACATGACTGCTTTACTCCTTCAATTGTCCCAAGTGGATTCCTACCTTACTGGTTTTGCAACAGGTTTTGGGAGTTTTTTTCTGACTTCGACATCAATATATTTCAGGAGCCTGTTCAAGATGAGGCTGATATTATTAGGTTCTGTGAAGAAAGTGGCTTACCTGTGGCATTGGATGAAACTATTGATAACTGCCCAGAAAATCCTCTGAATCTGCTTGTCAAGTATAATCACCCGGGAATAGTTGCTTTGGTGAGTACTCTTAAATCATTGTTTAATCAACAGGGCACATGTCATTCAATCTTGGTGGCGTACTTCATGTATTGTGGGTTTATCAAGTTGAATTACTCTTTCTAAACCTCAACTGTTATACTTAGATTTACCCAGCCAAACTGTGAGAATGTTGAGCTAGAATTGTGCAATCGCATTGTTAGAACCATGCCAATTAGAACTTTCCGTTGAAGTTTTCTGTATCAGAATATATGCGAGAGCACACGTTAGAAAGCTCATGTGTCCCCTCCCTGGTTGTTCATATAGCTAAAGCAATAATCAGTAATTAAGCTAATCCATGAGAAGTTGGAGAGCCAATATCTATAATGATCTTGTTTCTAGCTTTATAGGAGCATTATTTTGTCAAGTATCCATCATTCTTTTTGTTGCGATCATCAGAAATCATAATTGCCATGGTCGTTGACAAGAGCAGCATGATTCTAATATAAGCTATGCTTATAAGGTTAAATGGGTCCAGTTTACCAGCATTAACTTTCAAATGAGGATGCACACCATGGCTTTGATAATAGGAAACTACTCATTGTGCATCTTTTAGAGCATAACAATTTATGAAGATCTTTCAATTCAAAGCGACTTTTTGGTTGTGATCTTGATATGCATTGGTTTTATATGTCCTTCCAGGTCATTAAACCAACTGTAATTGGTGGATTTGAGAGGGCTGCGATAATCGCACGGTGGGCACAAAGACAAGGAAAGCTGGCCGTTATTAGTGCTGCATTTGAAAGTGGCCTAGCATTGTCAGCGTATATAGTGTTTTCCTATTATCTGGATTGGCAGAATGCTGACACATGCAAATTGATGAAGAATAACCTAGTTCCTTCTGTTGCTCATGGTCTTGGGACATTTCGCTGGCTTGAAGAAGATGTAACGACTGATATGCTCGGCATTGAACGTAATCCAAGTACTGGATTTATAGAAGCATCTGTTGCTGATGCTACCCATCTCCTGCATAAATTTCAAATGAACCGTAATTTTATCCATAGAACCTTTACTAGCCAAAAGGTCCTAAGATATCACCTAGCTCTGGATTCAGATGATTTCTCTTTTCCGTCAACGTACAAGAGATGGTCAGAGAAATAATGTGAGAAACTTGGATAACATCTATGTGCTTTCTTTTTCTCTATCTTTTTCTTGACTGCATTTCTCTGTGGCTGATGCACAAATGAATGCTTGAGACATACTGTAGCTATTGCTTGTAGAGTGGTGCAGAACTTTATTTTTTATTCCCACTTATGGAGTGCTAACCGCACCTTACCTTCACCAATGCAGGATAGCACGATTCTATTTCTTCATGGTTTTCTTGGGACAAATGAAGAATGGGTTCCAATCATGCATGCTATCTCGGGATCTGCAAGATGCATTTCAGTTGACCTGCCTGGCCATGGGGAAACAAAGATAAAGAACCGTGCTGATGGCAAAGCTGCACTGCAAGCAACGTTGTCAATCGAGATAGTTGCCAATTTGCTGTTTAAATTAATTGAAGACATAACTCCTGGTAAAGTTACTCTTGTTGGATATTCTATGGGAGCAAGGATTGCTCTGTACATGGCGCTTAAATTTGGTGATAAGGTACATTCATGGAGTGCAAGATACTGTTCATCTTTGAACTAAATTATTATATCTGCATTATTGATGATGGCAAACCTGTTCAGATTGAAGGGGCTGTTATATTATCGGGTAGTCCTGGATTAGAAAATGCAGTCACAAGAAAAATTCGCTGGGCTAAAGACGACTCGAAAGCTTGTTCCCTTGTTACACATGGTTTAAAGCTCTTTCTAGACACTTGGTATTCTGGAGGTTTGTGGAAGAGGTGATTTTCTTATCTCTCTATTGTTGCATTTCTTAAAAGTTATTTTATAGCATCCCAGAACTTTTCTTCACCTCCATGCTGATATCCATTGAACAGCTTGAGAAAACATCCCAATTTTAATCAAATTATCTCTAGACGATCACTGCACAATGACTTGCAAGGTCTTGCAAGAGTTTTGTCTGACTTGAGCCCTGGAAGACAGCCGTAAGCCCTTTTATTTATTTGCTTATTTTTCAGTTTATCATTTTAGTTAAAGAGTTCTAAGTTTGTTGATAGACCCATGTTTCATTAGTGAGAGAGTAAATTCTTTTATTAAAGTTCTATTGCAAAGTGCATGGTGATGGTAAGAACAAAGAGTCGTGCATCCGTTTGGTTTATAAAGTGACTATCAGTAAATGAACATCATTAACTTCTCATTTTTCATTTTATCATAGGTCATTATGGGAAGACTTGAAGCATTGCAAGACACCTCTTATGCTCGTTGTTGGAGAGGAAGATGAGAAATTCCAAACGGTGGCTCAGAAAATGTGGCACAAAATTGACCATGATAGAGATGATGAAGTGAGCAAGCTCCATCAGATGTTGTGGTTCCCAACTGCGGGCATGCCATTCATTTAGAGAACCCTCTTCCCATCATCCGGTTAATTAGACAATTGTCACCAACTTAAGTGCTAGATTACAGGAAAAAGGCTTGTAAGAGATTCGATTTAAGATAATGACAGCCAAAATTTGCAATATTTTACTAACAACCTGTTGAAGGTCAGGTTCAGAAGTACAAAACAAATGAGAACATATCTATCCAGTTTAGTTAAAGGTCTAAGAATGGTTTTCTTTCTCTATACTGTAGAACCCTGTGAAGAATCAGAACCCATTTTCATGATGTATTGTTTAAGCCTCACAAATGGTTGTCATCTTCAATAGTAAAGTTCTTCAAATGGCTCTTTCCCTGCAGATAAAAGTTAACAAGTCAAATTCAACAGCCTTGACGAGAAACTGTATCCCATCAGAACTGGCCTGCCTTCAAATTCTTTCCTACAGACGTCTTGTTTTATCATTGTAACATTTCTAATCTCAGCAGCAAGATAGTTTCCAAGTGCAACTTAAACCATCCAATCTGGTTTGAACACAAATGAATTATCCAAATGTTACTAAAACTTTAACAGTCAATTTAACCAAACTTAAAAAATAACAGAACACTTGAAAAAACTCTCAAGTCTCAGAAGGATTAAGTCAATTTCAGGGATGCAAGTTAAGACTCGAGAGGCAAAGTGTTCTTCCCAGTTCTGCTGTACCAGTCATCAGAAATTTTCAAGTCCAGCTAAAAGTGAACATGAAGAAGAAACATTTCTATAGCACCATGCTCGTATAGCCTGAAATATTGCAATACAAATCAGACTTGAATATCTGGTGCTCATACATCAAACTCCAAGGGACCAAATATAAAGAAAAAATGGCCAAAAGGTTAAAAGAAGCAACTCTTAAGCAATGAGAGAACCTTGAAGACCATTAAAATGATACGGAAACTCCACATCAATTTCAGCCATTAAAAAAATTCCTCATTTTGCATCCAATAACCAAACAAAGAAATGGAATAAAAACCAACCCGCCTTTGTACAAATTGAACAAAAAAACATAATCTCGGAAAGCAATCAGATAACTCTGAAGACCCAGAATCGGATTCCCACACGGGAATTAGGGTTTTAAACTATTTTCATCATTTTGCTTTCAATTACTCAGACGAGCAAAAGATACCCACTTTCCTGGCACCAAGCATCAGTTTAGTGAGATCAATTTCAAACCAAAAGCTTCATTTGATGCTTTAACACTGTTAGTATCTGTAAAATCGAATAGTAATTACCAGAGTACTGAAGGATCTAAGTTGATCGAAGGCTCTTTTCGACCATTTTTTTTCCAAGCGAAAAGATTATGTGCTAGACCAGGGACTAGGGTTTATTGTATTTATAGAGTTGGTCAACGAGAAACGAGGGCGTGCCTTCTTTTCAGAATTCATTTCAGGGTCTCCAAACTTTCAATATTTGTGCTTTGGTCCCCCTCATTCTTTGGGCCTAATTGTATCCTGGTCCAAAGAAACTTCCTTTGCAGAGCCTAGTCCTCGAAGGTTACAAGGAAACAAGTAACACAGTTATCAACCACAATTAAAACCAGGCATAAATCAACCACAATTAAAACCAGGTATAAAATGTAATTAGACTCATTGATAAAAGTAAATCTTAAGTTATGAAAGTATTTATTTTATATCATGTTTATAATATAACATGATAGATGTATTTTATTAGGTTTAATATAAAAATAGGGTAAATTACCCATCATCACTGAAATTTATTTTCTCTCCTATTTCACTCACTATACTTTAAATCCGTTCAATTTTCTCACCGAACTTAATACATTTGATTTTTTGGTCATTCCTCCGTTTTCTCACTAACGGCGTTATAAATTGGTTGTTATATAGATACAAAACAACGTCGTTTTGGTGAAAATTTCGTTTTTCTAAACTGACTTTATTTTAACGTTGTTAACTATTTAATGACGGAGTGACCAAAAAAAACTAAATGTATTAAGTTCAGTGAGAAAACTAATGGATTTAAAGTACAATGAGTGAAATAGGGGAGAGAGTAAAGTTTAGTGTAATTTACCCATAAAAATAAGTATTCAAATTATATTATTTTTTCATATTTTTTCATTGAAGTATCTGAATTATTTAAGTTAATCCTAGTGTTTAATGCAATATAAAGAGTAACACCATGAACTAGAAACATTTGATACAATCCAATAGATTATAATAGTACCGTAGATTTTGAAATGATGATTAAGAAGATAACTAACTAGTCATTTTGTTGGCAACAATTTGTCACCTAATATATTGAAGTGGGCGATAGTTAGAAACAATGAAAATGAAGACTCTTGAAGAGATTGAGAATGCATTTTCGTTGACAAATACTATCAAAACCCTAAAAAAAAAGATGACAAAGGAGAGAGTCATAATTGTTGGTCAATGGAAGTAGGTGATATGAATGTCAAAGATAAGGACCCGGAGAAGTACCCAAATAGCCCCATCACACGTGCAAGGGCCAAGAAGTTTCAAGCAACAATGGAAAGATTGTTTACAACAAGCCATAGACGTGAGAAAGGAGAAATGATAAGGGAGGAATGTTTTACCTTGCTCATGCATGCATTTACATGAGAATTTAAATATTTCACAACCTCCATTGCATTTTATGAAGGGTGCTGATCATTAAAGCATGCATTTCATTTATAGTTTAAGTTCATTTAGGGAAGTAGTTTATTTATGCATCTTAAATCATTCATTAAATTACTTCATTCATGCATTTAGTTAAATTTAATAAAGTTAGTTCTTTGATTAAACTAGTTCATTCATTTAACTAGTTCATTAATTAAACTAACTCTTTGATTGTTTCATGCATCTTAGTTTAAATAAATCCTATATGTGTGTCTAGGTGCATGTGACATGTAGAATGATGGAGAGACCCTTCAACTTCAACCTGGAGACCAGCCATTGATGACCATTTTTATTCATGCAATCAAGGCAATTCAAGGCTGAAATTTTATCTACACACAAGGGTTGTTCATATTCTTGAAAAGACAATGCATTCAAGCCTTATATTCACCTATTCAAGGCTGAAATAATCAGTCATTGAAGGCCATTCACGTGCTAAGCTAGGGGATAAATGATTCAAGGATGTTTTTATTTCATAAAATCAGCAAATGAGACAAACAATAAAGGTAGAGTTATTTCAATTATTCACTCATTTAAGTGAGGAATTCAGCAAAGAGTATGAAGGGACAACCTCATTTGGACGTGTTGAATGTGTACATTCATCCTCTTTTTATTTATTTGTAAGCAAGCAAGGCAGCCCAAGAGTCTCCTTTACCTTTTGGAAAAAAATAAGGCTAAATACATTCAAAATTCAGTCCAAATTCATCCAACTTAATCAACATGGTTGACCATCAAAGGATAAGGAAGAAGACAACTCATTTATTTGTATTCAAGTACATTAAGATGAGCATTCATATTTCTTTTGTGTAACTTTTCATATGGTGCCTATCCACACTATAAATAGGCACCTAAGGATCATTTGTAGGACACCACTTTTGAATTATAAACTCGTTGAAAAAATGCTTTCATTTTAGTTCTTGCGATCACTTTATCGACTTCAAGTTGTGCTTGTAGTCTTCTATCTGTTCCATATTATTATAGCATTAGTTCCTAGCTCTCATATATCTAGTGGGTCATGTTCCACACTCCTCCACTTCAACTCCATCAAGATATATTGTTGGTTCCTAGCTCGTTATACCTAGCCGGTCACAACCCGCCATCCTTGCAACCATAAAAGTCCACACCACTTTCAACATCTTCCCATCACTTCACTTTTCATTTTCATTTTACCACAACTACCATCCTCCATCCTTAACCTTCAAACTATCCATTCTATCTAACCAATTCTTTCTTTATCAATTTTATTATATTGTTATTCATCTCACATATATGTTTTACGATATTTCAGAGTTCAAAACATTGACAAACGTTTCTTACTAGAATCACAATCGGGCACATCTATATGATATGGGCATTACAACCCAGGTCATATTAGTAGGGAATGTGTAAATACTCTTACTGACTTTGATATTCAAAATCAAAACTAAACTCGATTCGGAAAAAAATTGATTTAAATTGATTTCAAGTTATAATTCATAAATTCGATTCAACTCGAGAAAATTTCAAGTTCAAATTGAGTTATAAAATACAACTAGAATAACTTGAATTACTCTGAATTTTTAATAATTAGGATTGATTTTCAAGCTTGAGCTGAGTTTATTGACTTTGTATAATATATGTATCACTTATGAAAAAAATATGAAGAAATATATATGTGTGTTGTATGTGATTATAAAAAACTATTTAAATTGCAAACAAATAATATTATAGACATTGCAATTAAATTTAAACAGAAACTCAAAAGTTTGACTCGACTTGACTAGAATTTTATAAACTCAACTCGAAATTTTTTTAAGTTAACTCCGAATTATAAAATATGACTCGTGAACTAGAGTAACTTAAATTTTTTTACTCGACTCGATCGAACACTCACTCCTAATGTAAAGGGTCGGTAAGCTCTTCTAATTATCGACACATTAGTATTGGAATTAGGGATAAAATCATGGTATATGAAAATGACTATTTTGTGTGTTTATATATGCATTTCTTCAAGCTAATGTTTTGGGTTAGTATTATGGAATCATGTATTCTATCATTAAATAAACACTAAGGCATGTAAATAGTAAGATTAAGTTCAATGTTTTGTGAATGCAGTTCTTCTTCTATTCATCTTCGCTCGATAAAAGTCGATCACTCGTTAGAGTTTGACCTGAATTCGATTTGATTTAAATTGATTGAGGAGAATAAAATTTTTAACTTAATAGAAAGTAAAAAAATATATTTTCTTTTATGTTGGTTAATAGTGGAAAACCTAGAGTAGTAGATTTGTACTAAATAAGTTTCATTTATAATAAAACAACAATCTCTATAAATAAATTCTATGAATTTTGGTTAGAAGTTAAGCAGAATTTTGAAAATCTTCTTGTATTCTTTTATTTTTAATATTAGTGAAAAAAATTCTCTTTTTTCCATCGCTTTTCTCGAAAGAATTTATTACATAAAATCTTAATAAATATTTTATTGTGTAGTCATTATAATTGTTGTTATCTTCTAACAAATTGGTACTAGAGCATTTAGGTTGTTTGCCTCGATCACGATAATTGCATACTTGAAAATTAAAATTTTGTTATTGGATCGTATCACCAAATTTGGGTTGGGACAGATTGGATAACAAATCTAATTTCTGTTAGGTACTCTAAATTCAAAATGGTACAAATTTTTCAATGAAGGTGGAGCTATAAAAATTTAGCAAAGACCCTCTTATTGTGATTGAAAGGAAGAAAAAGATTGTCAAATTTTATGTTATGTAGGATTCAATGGTTTTAGACAATGCATTTGTTGCTTTCTCGGTACTAATAAATGATTGTCAATATTATCACCATGAGTATTGATACTCCCATAGAGTTTTGATATCATCATAAGCCTTGATGTTTGAATAAATTCTCTCTGTACTAATACTAAACCTTCAATATCGATGCTCGATAAACAACATTGATACAGTAAAGAATAGTATTGATACTCTAAGCCATTTTTCTCAAACTTTTATAGTTATTCAATTTATATCGATACTACATGAATAATATCAATATCAAAGTAAAAAAAAAACCTTCTATGACATGGAAATTATCCCTAAATTCTATCAACAAGTTATCATCTAGGCTAAACATTATTTCTAAAGTTTAAAGCATTTATATAGGATCTCAAGTCACAATCATGCATAATACATAAAACAAGCTTTTAAATTATATTTTACCACAAGAAAAATCATTTTCATAATAAACATGATACTATAAAGATCTGTTAGAAGTATAACAATTCGAGATGATAAAATAAAAAGAAAATCTTATTTAAGTAATTGATTTAAACAAGT